AGTTCATCTGTATTTTAACTGTGTTGATGATTTAAGCTTAACACAAACATGTATTCCGAAGGGACCCAATTAGTCCGACTCAAAAAATATTTGTATAAATATTTGTAGTACAAATCAATAGAAATTTAATTTCAGTAGAGTTCATGTGGATATAAATACATGGATTCAGGTTTGGAGAAGCGGGCATGTACCTCTTATAGAATATTATTTTGGCATAAAAGACGTGCACAAAAAAAAATCTGTTTTTACCGTATGTATTAGAGAAACAGATAAATGAATACAACATTATGTTTCAAGAAACACCATACGCCTTCACTTATACTACAATACACTCTATGTAGTTACTTTCACCGTTTGATGCCTCTACTGGTGGACTGTTAGTCCCCAAAGGTATCACCAGCCCAGTAGCCAGTACTTCGGTACTGGCATGAAAATACGGATAAAAAATAGCTTTTACAAAATTTAGAAATTTCCTTTTTGGATTATAGCTGTTCATAATAAGTTTTTGATTTCCAAATATTTTGGCCTCGAGCATCACTGAAGAGACATGTATTGTCGAAATGCGCAACTGGTTCAGAAAAAGTGGTACCGTTAATGTTGTTCAATGACCATGTCATAGTTTAGTTTACTAATACAAGGTGTATCGTTTGGGACAAAAAAACATTCTACTTAAAGCAAACCTTCGAAGAACAGTCCTCATTCATGCAACCTATCGTCATAACAAAATAAACTAATTGAAAAAGTATAATCTAATCTTGAAAATAAACTAGTTGTATCCGTTTATTGACGTTGTGATCTACAACGAAGGAAAAATATGCATGTACTTCTAGATTTATTATTTAGCATATGGGTTTACTACTATGAGCAACACTGTCACTATAATTTGTTTATAGCCTTCAACTTTACATCAGTGTTTTAGTATAAATAAATATCTTGATAAACACTTATGTACTTTGTACGGGGCTCCCATGTCCTGATTATATAGCAGTTTACATATATCCGAATAACATTTGGTTTCCATTACCTCTCGAATCAAGATTTCAGTACAAAACGGTCATTGTTGTACGATCAATACTTAATCAACTGAACATACAGCAAGAGAAACCCGTTAATAGTGGGTAAGAAGAATCAGTTTCCATTGCAATTGTTTTAAAATCACAAAACAGGTTTGTTGCGTACACTATATTTAAAATGGCGTTTACCTGGAAGGAAAGCAATGTAGTCCTTATTTTTGAATAACATGTGTATGGTAATTGCGTTTCGTTTTTGAAAAGAAGTAGTTGCAAATTATGAACGTAACCAAAGAAAACGAAAATAATGCTTTATAAATCACAAGCGTTCGAACAAGGACGTGCATTAGTTATAAATCAGCACAACAATGTTAAATCTGCAAATTTGTGGAAGCAAGCTTTTGTTCTTCCCTCGCCGGGATTCGAACGCATGATATTTGGAAATCGAAACAACACCGCCTGCATTGTGTTTAGCGCTCTAGACCACACATATTTATCCTAAAAAATCCATTATGCGTTTCTGTTTTTTTTTTTTTTTTTTTTTTTTTTGGCAGAGTATATGTCGATTAATTTTATTTCAACTGTATAGGTGAAAAGTTGAACGTTTGAATAAAAGTAATAACAGTGAACAGCGTTAAATACACAATATTTGATACCTTTTTCACTATTGTATTAGGTCTTGAGAATATATATGCCAAACAGAGACTGTACTACTTTAGTAATCTTTTGTTTGTGCTAATTTCATTGAAGTGACATATACGTCCAATGAGCCGGGTGCGCTGAAATTCACCCATTGTAATACAATTATATGCATGTCACTATAATAAACAATATACCTACTTACTAACTTACAGAGTGACAACAAAGGATGTGTAAATGCTTTAATACTGTAGATGCTATGTGACCAATCTAAAATAAATTGCGAAATCAACTTAAGGTAACATTTCCTAGATGTACTTTGGGCCTCACTTTTTAAAAATGGCTAAATCAAGCCAAAAAAAAGTAGAAAAGAAATGCGTACATGCAGATAGAGTTAACGCTGTCTAGAAGGTAGTCTTAGAATGGGTCGTTGTTGAAATGATTTGGTCAGTTAGACTTTCTCAGAAGAAATTGTAAACATTTTTGGAGTATTGTGACTTCATAAAAGAATTAGATGTGGTTTGTGTTGTTTATTTTATGTGTTTTTGTATAATTACATTTTTTGCGATTTTCGTGTTTGGTCATTTTGCAGCTACATCATCCTAACAAATATAAAATATGTATAATCATTTATATGGTGCAGTACAATCCTTCTTTTTAGAATAAAAACTCAATTTTGCTATGGTGTTATATTTTAAAGATCGTTTTAATTATATGTTGAGACTTGAAACTGTATTTTATGATTATTTCATTGCAGCTCAATTTATGACTAAAGCAATACTTTTCTCCTATATGGACACACAACACGCAATGTTTTTTTGTGTGTCTCGAAATTATTTTGATTTAATCAAACTATGTTAAAAATGCTGGATTAACAGCAGTGATTATATGTTTCTGAAAAATACATTTCAAGGGACTTTGTTCAGTTTTATTATCTATTTGTTGTAATTCAAACAAAAAGCTGAAAGGAGATATCCTGTGAACTTCATTTAAACAGGAAGTTTTTTTTTCTTTCTTTCAGTATTGTACCATATTTGAATAAACTAACAATACTGATCAACATGTTTTCATTTTTGTTACATGTTTCTTTAAACACGGACTTTAAAGTGTACTATAGATACAACTATATAAAGCCACTCCCGTTGAAAAAGTAACATTAGCGTCCGTTTAAATTAGAAATGAATAATTTGTAAAAGACGAAAAAGAAATCCTAAAAATTGTCTAATTTTGCGTCGTATTATTGAGTGCATGTATGTTTTGTTCAATGTTTATAAATACGTGTACACAGAGCCGTAAACTGGTGTTTGGATGGTTAGTTTCCGTTCTTGGAAGGCTGTCATTTCATTTCTCATATTAAGAACTATAACAATAATGTTGTTTTTCTTTTTTTTTATATTTCTTACCAGCGATTGGCGATAGTGTGTGATATATGAAAACACTACATAATAACGTTGGTTATAATTAAGTTCCTGGAGAAGGCAAGTTAAAAAGGGCATAATTCGTCACATTCTGGTCAATAGCAAACAATCAATGAATCATTTCTATAAAATATGCCAACAAATCCGATATGTATTAGTTTCACCGATCTATAAATAATGTTGACTTATTTGTTTAGTTGGAAGCGTTTTCTGGTGTCCGATGTTTAAGTCCTCAACAGACATTGATTTTCAAATAATTCATCTGGAAAAAATATCTTTTTGCTTTTTATAATGTTCGAATATTCGGTAAATTATTGATACTTATGTAAACTCTATTGACTTGAGTGAATTTTTTTTTATGAAGAACACGTTTTGCCGTCGGATGATTTGTTATTGCACCTATCATTGGGTTTAAGTCTTATTTATTGACAAAAAAATACATGGTATATTAATGTCATCCGTTAGTGCAAACAGAATTAAATATTATGTAAATATATTCCTAAACAATTTAACGAAAGTTTGAAATCTTATCATAAGTTTTTGTAAACGAAGACTTAGCTATATTTGATCAATCCATTGTACATTCTATGCCAATGCGAGTGCATGCAGCAAACAGTTTGGAAGAACAGCGCAGATGATGTTAGCGAATGATGATGAGTTCAAAGCAAGATCTTCATTCATTCTGATTAAGATATACTCTGCATTGCTTTTTTTTTGTATCTTTCCATAACAATAGTCATTTTAATACGCAGGTAGGTTAATGCCGGATTTTATTAATTTTCTAGGCATCCCCCCTTTTTTTTATTTATTTTTTATTTTGAAAGAAAAATAACTGATTCCAGATTTGTTTATGTGGTACACATTGGTGATACGTCTACCAAGAAAATATTTTCTGCTGTCACACGTGGTGTCTAAGTCGTCACGTGATTTTACGATATGACTAATTTCCCATATGATTTAGCCTGTAGAACAAGTTCCCATACTAAAAATGTCGCCATGAAATTTCACTGTACGGTAAAAGATACCTTTTACTCCATAAAAACTACTAATCGCTCACTGATAAATGTTTCCCTTTATTTTAACAACATTAAAACCAGGAATTCACGTCCGTTGTTATGAATTTTATCATAAAAAATACCTCTATTTTCAATTTAACCAAAAAATTATACAAGCGTTCAGCAATTTTCAATAAGCTGACTAATTCTTCTATAAACAACTCAAAGGATTTGAAATAATATTGCCGTTGGTAACTTGTTCTACTCGTTTGTTTGTTGTCCGCATATACCGTCTGAAATGACGCCCATTGCATAAACGCTTTACTGATCGCGGAAGGGAGGTAATCGAGGTAAAACATTCCAAAGTTGCGTTTACGGGAATTTCATAAATGAAAGATAAAAACATTCTTGCGCTGTTGTTTCTGATTATATCATGCACGCATATTTAGAAAATCACGCATATATGGCAATAAATAACATTCGTTAATTATTAAAAAATACCATGCCCTTAAATAAGTACGTTTTGAAAAAAAGGAGGTGGGTGTTTCATCTTCTATATTTCACACACAATGTGAGCATTCTTTCTTGAATATACAATGTAAAGGATTTGTATGGGTTATGCATAGTTTTTAATTTGTGTCATACTGTTGAGACACCATTCTGATGTGTTTTATAGTTTAAAATGACAAAAAGTATTAAAGTCTATATGTAGAAGGTGTTGATCAATTCCTTTCTTACTGACTTAAAAAAAGAAGCTATTTCAAGGGTCCTTAATTATCAATTTCCTGGTGAAGTCTTAAATTTTATAACAATAATAAATATTGTGCACATTATGAATTAATTTCCTTGTCAAAACCCAGTCATTCTGCAAATGAAGGGTTTATTAAAATCAGAGACATTATTAGTCATATAATACATGATATTTCTCTCTTAAAATGTGTAAGGGAGCTACCATTTGATTTTTATGGGGGGGGCTAGGATGAAATTTGAAAAAAATAGGCAGGACAGGAGTTCTGAGTAAAAAAAAAAAAGGCAGGATGAGACACTTTGCAAAAAAAAAAGGCAGGATGACAATTTAGGTTAAAAAAAGTCAGGACAAACTAATAAAAAAAAGGCAGGACCGAATAGAGTGAAAAATAAAAAGGCAGGACTGAATAGAGGGAAAAATATATAGGCAGGACAAAATTTTTCATCCTAGCCCCCCCATAAAAATCAAATGGTAGCTCCCTAAGTTGACCTCAAGAAATCAAATCTGCTGTGAGAAATATGTATCATTCATTATCCCCTTTAACTGCTGAATAAGAGACAGTGGTAAAGCCCAGAAAATATTAAAAATTTTATTTCTTTAACTGCTGAATCCATTTGTCCAAGATTAAAACTTACTAAACTTCTAACACTAAATAAAAAAAGTACATCAAGTACTAGTAGTTAGCCCAAAAATTTAAGAAGGATGATAAAAGAAAACAAATAGCATACAATATTAAAGAGAATTTTCTAAAACATTTATTTATCTTTATATACATGAACATAAATGTGTACTTTCACTAAAAACTTGCATGTTTCATAATACTCATTGTATTATGATGTTTATGTATCTTGCCAGACAAGGGTAAATAAATAATGTCTATACAATGATTTGTAATAAAGCTTTTGATTTTTCAATTCATAATAAAGTATAAATGAATGGTAAAATAATAAATGTCTATTTAAATGTTTTATAAAGATGTCTGATGAATCTTCATATATTTCTGATCTAAATAATGCCTCACACTTTATTTTGAAAATATCAAATCCTGCTACACTAATGTTTTTCATTCAATAAATCCAAATCACATTCAAACCTTTGAAATGTCTCTGTCTTACATGTTCCAGAATCAAATTAGTTGTTGGTTCCTTGTTTGATATCCATTTGTTGTAATACTAAACATTGTTTGCCTTCAATGTTTTTCAACTGGTTTATTTTAAATTCACTTTTTTGTATGCCACAAATCAGCTTTACACATTGTTATTTAAAGCTATCAGTCTGTTTTGACATCTTAGTAATAAATGTCATAAATAGTCATAAACATTTCATTTCTCACAGATTTTAAATCATCACAATATTATAACATGTTTTATCTGACAATTTCCTTTTGTATGTAAATCCCCACATTAAACAAGTACACAGTATTTTCCTCTGATTATATTTTTATTTCTCTGTCTTCTATGTTCCAGAAACACTATTGTTCAACTTATTGATATTAATTTGTTGTCAATACTGAAAATTGCATTATTCCTCAATTTTCCTTTAATTCACGTGTAACATGTCATGAATTATCTTATACACAGCTCAGTAATCAGTCTTCTTTGATATATATCAAAAACTAATTCTCACATATATATTTTCTATCATTTCTCTTTTCATGCATAGATCCAGAATCATCTCTGTAGTTTTTATATGATACACAATTTCCTTTTGCTGCATTTTCAAAATAAAGGAAGTGCAGTCTTTTTCTCTCACAGTTTCATTGTGTGGTATAATACCATTGCTTACAAGTCACCAAAGTGCTGAAAATAGAATTGTAAACAATATTTGGATAAAATATACTTGATATATGAGGGTGTGGAGTTTACATAATAGAGAATAATGGACAAAAAAATTTATAATAAGAATAGAGAATAATGAGGTGCTAAAATATAAAGAATAGAGAATAATGGGCAATATGTATAAAGATTAGAGAGAAATGGCCTAAAAAATTAAAGAATACAGAAATGAAGGACCCCATCCAGACCCTCATATATGATCTGATACAAAATAGTAAGTTCAATTCTATCTTCCTATAAAAAAGCATAACAGTTAACTTGGATGTAACCTTTTAGTTAAAAATACATTTCCAGATTAAAAAGTTTCTTTAAAATAACAATATATATTATATAGTTTAAACTACATAATACTAAAAATGATACTTTCTGAGACATAATCACTGATTAACCAATATGCTTATTTATATTACTTCATCTGCACTGACTGAATGAAACTGAGGGAAGCATAACAGTTATGTACACACAAAAAAATATAATAATATCAATGCTTACATTTTGGAGACCTCTTGTTTGGCATTGTGGAAACTATGTTTTCTCTGGGTATTAGAAATTTCATTCTAATGTGTAGTGATAATCTTTCTACAAAAGAAGAAGATAACTTTACAATCATAACTGGAATATTTCAAGCCCATACCACTCTAAATAGTTGAAAAGTGTCTTTTGATAAACAAAAGTGTCCTCCTAATCTGTACTAGACATCATAGTTACAACAGACAGAACTCATGTCAATTTTGATAGTTAATCAATATAATGATAATATGTTTATATCACTTTATAAAGTGCAATAAATCAATAAATCAAATTTGCTCTATGTATGAACACAAAAAGTGATGAAATAAAATGTTAATATGAGATTTTAAAACATGAATGAAATTAATATTGTGTTTGAAAAATGGTCACATCATACTAAATAATTATAAAAGCTAGTTATTTTTATATATCAAATTCCTACTTATAATGATAATTTACTAAATTTAGACAAGCTATTGGCATGACTGCACACACTGTGCCATGATGTAGTTAAAAAATGCTATGCTCTCTTTTTCTTTCTTTGACCCCCTTCTTTGTATTTGTAATATGTAAATGATTATACAAATCAAATACCTAAGAGAAAATGGGACACAATCATGATGCTTAAAGAGTAATTTGAAGATTGATGCTCAAAATATATGGAAGTGTTTTCCTCCACAATAATATGATCTAATATGGCCATGGCATGTCAGTCTGACAGCACTTTTTCATAAGCACCCACATTATTTTAACACTAGTAAAGTAATTTTGACTTGCCTAAAATTATACTTTCTATAAACACTGCCTTTCGTCCTTGCCGTTTTTTAAATAGCCAGAAAAACGCCAAATGTGAAAATTAACACCCCTTTTTAAAGAAAGGTACATTTTGATCTAGATGTATAATCTTCCTTCAATGAAATGAAATATACGGCCTTTGGCAGTAAAAGAATATGATAATTTGAAACAAACTTACCTCAAAATAATAGCAATATCCATCTTTGAAACGTGTGTTTACTTGATAAGACACTCATGACAAGGTGCCCGATCAGCTGATGATCACGAAGTATGACGTGATGTGCAAGCCCAACCTTGACGTTGATGGAACGATCAGGCCAATCAGATTCCGCGTAGTTTGGTAAATGACGTCAGATTTAGATTTCGATGCAAACACCGATATTCAGTGCCAGTTTTTTTTTAAAGTACATTAACCTACCTGCGTATTACAAACATAGAAACAAAACAGAGAACAGTATGTGCTGATTTTACCTTGAACTATTCGTCCGACACGTATTGAAAACCATATATTGTCTAGAATTCACAATTATTGTTAAGTAAGGTGTAATTACAATATGACCAAATAAACACAAAAAATGAAATACAAAGCAGTATACATACTACGAAAGATTAGTCGGGAGATTCAAACTGCCAACAGAGACCTCTCCGAACAATACCTAACATACTTCATTACCTCTACCTGTATATACAAATTTCATTTTTTTAATTATTCATTAAGAAATTGATGAAATTAAGAAAGTGTGCCTCCAAGTACGTTATGCAACGCCCCCTTAAACGGATTTCGATATTTACTTAAATTATCCTTTGGTTACAAAGCTTCTTTTGTGTTCAAGTATTATCACGTTCTTGTTTTTTTTATAAGGTTGCCATATAGTTCCTCAGGTATTCCTGTATTTACTCATCATCGTCATTAAAAATAATAGTTGTCACTGCATTCATGCGCAGATTCATTTTGATAAGGGGTGTAGTTTATAATTGGTTATTTTATCAATGCGATATTCTTGAATAGTCCGTTATTTTATCAATGCGATATTCTTGAATAGTCCAGTAATCTTATGAAAGACAAGTAATTCGTCATTAACGTACCTTTACTTATAAATAATCAATATTCCAGGCATTGATACGGAAACAAGTAATGAAGTAAGATCGGACGTATGATAAATTTATGATAAATTTAATGGACGATGTTTCATGAATCAATTTGGATTTTCTCTCGTATAGCAGACAAGCGATAGCTCCAAATGCATTTAGAATGTAACATCCTTTTTCACCGTCAAATCTACAATTGACTAGTTGTTAAAAAGGAGTAAGCAGCCGTATTTACTTGGTGATATTCAAAAATGTTTAATGATGAATACAATATAATCTAAAATAAAATAACGCCTATCAATTTGATTCCGGTGAGACATTATCCATATTTGAAGCGTGAAGCCTGGACAATGTAATTAAATAGCTTTCAGATTTACATGTTTCATACGTATAATGCCATACTTTGTCACAATGTATAAACGCTGAAATTATTCATTGAGTTTAAGACTATTTTTATATCAATAATGTTTTTAACATCTAATGCATTAGGCCATTATATAATGCATTTGCATATGAAGTTGGATAATATAGTTGAACAGTTGCTACCTCCAATTGGGCATTTTACGGGCTCCGCGTCACCAGTAAAACTGCATTTCGACCCTAAAATGACCTCAACCTGTTGTTCAGTGGTTGTCGTTTGTTGAAGTGGTTCATAAGTGTTTCTCGTTTTTTGTTTTTTATATAATCAGACTGTTGGTTTTCAAGTTTGAATGGTTTTACACTAGTCATTTTTGGGCCCCTTTATAGCTTGCTGTTCGGTGTGAGCCAATGCTCCGTGTTGAAGTCCGTACTTCCTATAATGGTTTACTTTTACAAATTGTGACTTGGATGGAGAGTTGTCTCATTGGCATTCATACCACATCTTCTTATATCTATTAAAGATTGTAACTTTTCAAATTTAGGACTGTAATTCCTTAATTTCAGATATTTGAGGTATACAAACGTCTGTAAAAAGAGGTTACATTAGTGTATTGATGTTCAAATTTCGTAAATCCGTTTTGAATTTACAAAACCAATTGATCATAACCTCGAAAACATTCTTGTCATCAAACTGGGAAGATACCAAGTGCATCGACAAGATAGGTGTGCCTTGATATGTAAGCATCATCCGGTTTGCAAAGTCAAACGCAGTCAACATGTAGCAATACGTAAAGAGCCTAACCGGTACATTAACATGAATAGAAATAAACTTAGTATGATGTTACCTATGAATAAATGTCTGTCATAAATTGAAACATCTTTCAATCAATTACCTCGTTTGCATTTTTGTTTCTTTGTTGATGTTTAAAAAGAAATTTTCAGTGGCATTGACTATATCATTGTATCCAATTGCTTTAATACTTTGGAATGCTTGAGTACCCAGAGAGAACAACCGATCATCGTCAACCAACAACATGCGTAAGTATGCATTATTAACATAATTTGAGCTTTGTCATACGCATATTGCTCGTCAATCATTAATGTCTCATCGCATTTCAAATATTTCAGTTAAACACTTTCGACCAACAAATAGAAGGTCGTGTCCTTTCGTCAACTTCTCATTTCTAAGTAGTGACATGCTAATTGACGATAAATAAACTTATAAAACATAGGAATTCTTAAATCACACCTACGTATAGGGAAAAGGGACACTGTATAAAGGGAAAATAAAGGCAACAGTAGTATACCGCTGTTCAAAAGTCATTAATCGATTGAGAGAAAAAAATTCCGGGTTACAAACTAAAATCGAGGGAAACACATCAACTATAAGAGGAAAACAACGGAACAACAGAAACACTGAAGTGCAACACATATACAACAAATATATAAGTGGAAAGGTCGTGTTTCAGCCCTATGAATTCGAAAATCGAAAATTATTATAAATCTATTAAATAGCATCATTCCGGTGTTCATACGATATGCGTTTGCTGGACGTGGCGATTTGTTCTTATGATTCGGTGTTAAATATTTTCAATAGGACTTCAAAATTATTGTATTTTGCCCCAGATTACAAAACTCCCCAAAAAAACTAGTTTTGGATCACGTCTTTATTTTTTTATTTGTTTTAAATAAGCTAAGGTTTAACCCAAAACGATGTTTCGCTACAAGATGGGATTTTTTTTATGTTGATTTTTATCAATATTTGTTGATGCGAGTATTCGGTTCAACTTTATACTTTGTCAAAAACCCTATATGGAAAGTCTATTTCGACATGGCAATAAAGACTATAAGGACAACACAAATTGACCGTATCACGTAAACAAGGAAAGCACACATGCACCATATTATTGTAATGTTTCAGCCATTTAACATAGGAAATAGCATTTACAATCAAATACGACATGCATATCAGCATATCGTCAGTAACGGTTTGTAGAAGCGTTATTTTGATATATAATTCGTATCAAGAATTCAAGTGGAACTGAGAAAAATGGTCTCAAGAATTCTCCTGTTCATCAATGTCACTTATCGTATGTAGAACGAAAATTAATAGTTAATGTGGGATAACAAGTCAAACCAACATAACACTACATCTTATAACTGCTGTATCATCATACGAATCCGTTGTTGATACTAAACAGATCAAGCGGTCTGTTCGAATATTTGTAATCAAATTCCATTTTCAAGTCCAAAGGTTCAAAGACGTTTAAATTTGCACGGCACTTTGTAACATGTACAAAGCGAAACAACATATCAGACAATGTTTTCGTGAAAATATATCTGCTAGGATACATAACAATTTTTTTGTTTAAAAATCAATATATCTTTTTATGTAACAAAAGCTAAGCAACAGATGTTGTTACAGATTGTATTTAGATTTTATACATTTGTTAAAAGTGTTATTGAATTTTATCGAAATATTAAGATTTATTGTGCACGTATGTGTCAACGTTAAGGAATGCAAATACAATCAATTTCATAGCGAGCTTTTTACAGTAATGTTGTTTATAAGCTAACATATATATGTAGATATCCTCGATCCTTTCTTCGTCCTGAATATGCATGAAATATTTGCCACCGAACGTTAAGCAACCAACAACCAATCAATCTGCCCCTTCTACTTTTCTTTATAGGCTTATTGATAAGTTTGAAACCATACTGACTGCGTTGTTTCCGCCGTGTCTTGTATATCAATTTGTGTATCAGAGTTTGAAGTAATAATGAAATGCTTCCGGTGATTAATTTATGATGGATATTGCTCTGGATATTGTTTTCCCGAGATGTATATTTCGTTGATAATTGACATCGTCAATAAAGTAGAGCAATCATCATGGCTATGGTGTGTGTGTTTTTTTTTTTTTTTGCAATGGATTTTCTACCATTGATATTTTCTGCCTCTTTTTTAGAGTACGTATTTTAAGTCTGTGTTCAGAAACTGCAAGCATACTTTAGATTATAATATATGTATTGTTATTTATTTTGTGCTGCCGAAATTAATCACACCGTTGATTAAAAAATACTAGCTATTCATCTATTGATGTTGTTCTTTTATGTACGCTTTGATATTTTACGGATCATGATTACAAAAGATGATAGACATACAACGTAGTGATACTTTAGACTCTTTTGAAATACCAGGCTTAGCATTTGTTTACGGTGGACACGCGTTTTGTCTACATAAGTGGCGCTCG